CGAAACCTGGCATGTCTTTGATGAAACTTGAACCCACGCTGCTTCAGTGCACAGGCCGACACTCCAACCACTGAGTAACACTGACCAGGGCTACCGCTGCTTTTTTATCCACTTGTCTATTGATGTGCATTAGGGTTGCTTCCGTAGCCTGGCTATTGTGCATAAAGCTGCAATGAGCATAGGGGTGCATATATTCCTTCATATTAGTGTTTTATGTTTCTTCTGGTCTATACACAGAAGTAGAATCTCTGGGCCATAAGGCAGTTCTGTCTTTAATATTTTAATGAACCTCCATTCTGGTTTCCACAGTGGCTGCCCCAGTCTGCATTGCCACCGATAATGCACCAGGGCTCCCTTTTCTCCACATCCTCCCCAACACGTGGGTGGTTGATTTATTGATGGTAGCCATTCTGACAGGTGTGAAGTGATATCTCATTGTGGCTTTAATTTTCATCTTTCTGGTGATTAGTTATGTTGAGCATCTTTTCATATGTCCTCTTTGGAGAGGTGTCTATTCAAGTCCTTTACTATTTTTTAATTGGATTCATTGGGAAGTGTGTGTGTGTGTGTGTGTGTGTGTGTGTGTGTTGATATGTATGAGTTCTTTATAAATTTTGGGTGTTAACCTCTTATCAGATGTATCATTGGTGAATATGTTCTCCCATTCAGTGGTGCTCTTTTCCTTTTGCTGATGGTTTCCTTTGCGGTGTAAAGACTTTTGAGTTTGACATAGTCTCATTTGTTTATTTTTTCTTTTGTTCCCCTTGCCCAAGAAGATATATTACCAAAAATATTACTAAGAGACATCTTGAGGATTTTACTGCCTATGTTTTTCTTCTGGGAGTTTTATGGTTTTGAGACTTACATTTAAGTCTTTAATACATTTTTAGTTTATTCTTTGTGTGGTGGTATGGTTTCTTTTGCGGGCGTAGGGGCATGTTTCTGTCCAATTTTCCTAGCACCATTTATTGAATAGATTGTCTTTACCTCATTGTACATTCTTGCCTCCTTTGTCAAATATTAATTTACCGTAAAGTCATGGTTTTATTTTTGGAGTCGCTATATTCCATTGATCTATATGTGTCTTTTTATACCAGTACAATGTTTTTTTAAAATTTATATTTTTATTGATTTGAGAGAGAGAAAAGAAGAGAGAGGGAGAGAGAGATAGAAACATTGATGAAAGAGAAACATCAACATCAATTGGCTTCCTCCTACATGTGCCCTGCTGGGGACTGAGCCCGTAACCCAGGCATGTGCCCTGACACAGAATCAACCAGTGACCTCTTGGTGCATTGGTCAACTCTCAACCAATGAGCCACACTGGCTGGACAGTACAATGTTGTGTTGATTTCTATGGCCTTACAGTATAGTTTGTTATCAGGTAGCGTGATGCTTCAACTTTGTTCTTTTTTGTCGTGATTGCTATGATATTTAGAAACTTTTAAGGTTTTATATCAGAAATGTTATTTTCACCATTAATTTCAGGGAAAGAAGTTGTCAAATAAGAAAACAAAACAAATGACATGTGGTGAATGAACCTAAGTTCTGTGAGTCATGAGGGAGACACATTGATGCTAAGGCTTTTGGAGTGACCCAGGGGAAGAGAATTTCAGACACGAGAACTAACAGGAGCAAAGGCCCCGTGGACGGGAGAAACTGATCATATAGAACAGACATGGGCACTGAACTTGGGTGAGGGAAGGAGGGGCAGTCAGAGACAGTTCCCTCAGGATGAAGACCCGCTCGGGTCAGAATAGTGAGCAACTCTGAGAATTTGCTGGGTCCTGTGTCTGTTCTCAGCCCTTCATAGGCATCCAGCCTTTTAATCATCTCAACTACCCCATGAGTTTAGGAATTGTAGGGTCCCTGCTTTCCAACTGCGGAAATGAGGCACTTAGAGGCTATAGTAACTGGCCCCAATTCACCTGGACCACGCTGGCAGCATCTGACAAAGTTGGGATTTGAATCCAGGACTGGGTGTTTGGGCCCAGAGTGAAGCCCTCAGTACTGTGCTGTCCTGCTCAGGGCCTGATACCAGCACAGAAGCAGGCCTGGTCCCGCACAGTGACTCGGTCCTCTGGCCCAGGAGTCTGCCTCTTCCTCTCTGTTTCTCATAACTCGCTCACACTTGGTATCCCTCTCCCTCTTTAATCACAGACATCAGGCATCAAAAGAATGACAGGAAAAAAAGAATAACAATAAGTGTTGGGAGCTGGGAATGAGGAGCAGAGAACAATAAACTTTGCCCATCACAGTGAGGCAGAGGCTCTCTCCCTCCTCTCCTCTCCAGCTCCTCAGGGCAGCTCAGACCCTTCCCACCTCCCATAGGAGCTGCAGGTGCAGGAACCACAAGGTGGCTCTGGGGCTGGGTCATCTCCCCCCACATGGAGGAATATCCACCTCCCCAGCCTCACTCCTTGTTCCCTTGATGAGAGAAGAACCCTGACCCAGAGGAGAGAGAAAATACTTAGGCTGACTGAGGAGACACTGATTGCTGTGGGCAGGGGGTGGCTTTAGGAGCAGAGAGAAGTTCCTGTGTAATCATTTCTCAGCAAGTTGCCATAGGAAATTCAGAAAGAACACATCTAACCTCAACGGAATCTAGAACATGTTTTTATCACTTGAAAACTATGCCACCCACCCATTTACTCTCATATCCTAGGGTGTGTGCTTTTAGCCAGATATTCCAAGGTTCCAGTAAGATGGCTGGGTTGTCCCTCATAAGCTGCAGAAAATGAAAGAGATGGAGATGGAGTCGTTTAGGAGAGATTCAAACATGGAAGGGATGAGAGGTGCAGGACTGGGATCCATATTCAGGAGGGCCCCAGCCTCCAGAGTCCATCCCTGTCTTAGCCCCCTTGTCCTGTTGTCATCTTGAGTGAGGCAGGTCCTTACTTGGGACAGACTCTGGAGATGGGAGAGGTAGGGCACCGTGACTTCATGCCTAGAACCTTCAGTCTCACAACAAATCTCTTCTGGGGTCCAAAGGACTCAGGACAGCAGAGCTCAAAGCAGGGCCAGAACGTGCAGCCGGGGCCACAGAGGTTGGTCCGGTTGAAGGACAGGATGGTGTCACGATCACAGCATTTCTCCATGGGGTTGTACATCTGGTTCCCGCATCTGGGTGCTTGCTGGCACAGCCACAGGCCGGAGTTCATGTGGGCCCCTGGAGACAAATTGCTGGTGACTTCAAGGAGAACAGGGCACTATCCCCATCCTCTGAATCAGGATCCTCTTTAAACCACTTCCCAAGGGCAGTCTCATCCCTCTTCATTCTTTCCACCCTGCACTCACCTGACTTTAAGCACAGGAGGAGGAGGAGGAGGGAGGCTAATATGCAGATGAAACCTGGAGAAGAAGGAAGGAGGGTTAAGGCTGAGGCTTGGGTTGTGGACCTCAGGGAGGGCAGGCCCAGGCCAGTGTGAAGAAGGCACAGTTCCAGATTTGTTTTAAAGATTTGAGTTTGGGATCATCTCTGCATAGGGTCTAGTTTCCGACACAGATAAGAGTCCAGGAATCTGGGCCTGAACAGACTGGATCCGTTGAGGGGAGAGAATGGGGGGGGGGGGGGGGAGCGGAACTCTTTGAATCGTATGTTACAATTGTAAGAATGCAGTGAAGTTTCCCAGTTGGGGAAAGGCAGAGCAGGTGTTAAAGGTATCAGTACAGTGATTTGAAAGTATGAAGGAAGCTGAGGTTATATGGGGAGAGAATTGGGATGCATGGTTGCTTTTGGGGATATGTTTTGGCCTGACTAGGTCTTGGATTTGGAGCTCTCCTGTATTTCAGCTTCTGGGCACCATGACTGCAGATGAAGATTGAGAGATGAAGTTCAAAAGGATGGACATGAATGTTTTCATAGATGCAATAACATGACTATAATATAGGTTAAAGCATAAGTTACCTAAAATGATACAGAAAAAGCATTTGACAAAATCTACATTTTCAGAGAAACCAAGATGGCGGCATAGATAAACACCAGAGATTGCTGCCTCACACAACCACTTCAAAAATACAGCTAAAAGACGGAACGGACGTCATCCAGAACCACAGGAAGGCTGGCTGAGTGGAAATTCTACAACTAGAAGGAAAGAGAAAAGCATACTGAGGCTCAGAGGAGGCACAGTG